CCTCGCCTTTTTTTTTTTTTCTTATCTTTAAAATTTTTCTGGGAAGCTTAAAAGGCACAAACGAACGCAAATGAAAAACCGAGTTTTCTTTCCATCGCTGTTCACCAAATAGCGGGGACCCTTGGGGTGGGAACGTTGCACCTTTGAATTTCGCTGACGAGAAAGGATTAATCAGAGACCTCTTTGCAAAGATTGCCAACAGTAAATACCGTATTTTTAAAGTCATTTTCCAAACGTGCAAAACGCCTCTTTTTGCTTCTAGTATTTCCGATTAAAAAAAAAAAAAAAAGCTACAGGCTTGATACTATTTTTTCTGGATTTGAGTTTCCCCAAAAAATGGTTTTGAAAAAACCTGTCATGTCGCTTGAGGTCAGTCTTAGATGGCCAGCAATCAGTATTCAGCACAAGAATCAAAATGTTTTTCCACAACTGAAGTCTTGCGTGTTTTTACTTAATGCCATGTAAAATTAAGAACAAACAGACTGTAAAAAAAGTCACATATTAACTGACAGTTCCTTTTTATTTTCAAAAAAGGGAAGACCGAAGAGTAAGCAGCAGTATTCCCTCCATACACCGTATTATTTACAATTATTTTTTTTATGATTAGTTTGATCATTAATACACCTTTCACAGAAGCACGCTATACATATCAGCCAGAGTAAAATACGGGCACAGTTTATGGCTTGCAGTGAGTGGTGCTTGCCATAAATAAGCATGGACAGGTAAGAGGAGCCAGCACCGGGCGCTGCATTGTCAAGGGGAGCAGTGAGGCCTTTTGAAGTGCTCTAAGCAGGAAGCAGCACAGCCTTTTTAATTAGAGTACATACAGCTGGAGGATATACAGGAGGAGTCTCCTCAGAATTTATTTTGGGAAGGGAGGGACATATCCTTCAGGTGTTCTCATTAATGCAGGCTTAAACACAGAGCATAAAACCCAGCATTTTAAGAAGAAAAAAAAATAACCCTCTCCCCCCAAATACCACGGCTGAAATCCTGCTCTGCTTGAAATCAACTGATGTTTTGCCATTTAACTCAATAAGACCATAATTTCTTTCCAAAAAATTAGTATGGACCGCTTGATCCCATTCCCATCAATAATAAGGTTGTATGTAGAAAACTGCTGATATATTTTCAGTGTGTTTACATATAAATATGTAGGAACATCAGAAAAAAAATTAATTTCAAGCTCAATCCTGCTTTTCTTCTGCATGCAAGGCCACCCCTGATTTCACAAACTATTTCCATTCTGAGAGGTCAAAATCAGCTCTCATGTAAGGATCAGACTGCAATTATTTCTGTGGTATCTGAGCTTTGTATTTTATGAGAATTGAATTTTGGTCTCTGGAGGCAGAAATACCATTTGGTTTCCTTACTGAGCACAGATGAAACAAATTTTAAAACCTCTAGAAACGATAAACTGGCAGATTCTGAATAGATATGAAGTTTTGTTTTGTGAGAGAAGCAGCAAAAGTATGGCTGAAAGAGCAAACTGTAAGCAGTTCTTTTAAACATTGTAACTGAAAGTGATTGTTGTTTGTTTTTACCCTCTATCTAGTAGGTCATAATTAGTTTATAATTTTCAAGATTTCCAGAATTGATTATGCTGTTTAAGTCTGCACTGCTATTTGCTAAGAAGTCCTTGTCAGTACTTTTGTGTTTGTAATAAGAAATCTTGAAACACCTATTTTTTAGATCATTATTACTTTTACATGTCAGATATGTGATGTCAAAGTATTTGTGAAGACAGTAGAAAATGACAGGTATATTAATGTGTTTAACTGCTAGCTATTGATAAAAATCTCTATGTAAGAACTAGACACGACTGTTATTAATGAGACCTGGTTTTGTTTAGTATAGGAAATAAGCCACGTTATTATTTAGGTATTATTTTGTAAGCCAATTAACAAAATATCTGGTTTTAGTTACAATATGCTACCTTCAAATTTTTGAACTGTAACACAGTTTCCACTAGTGTTACTCCCCATATTTATTAAAAACCTTTCTCCAGAGAGCTTCTGATCAAAATAACTAAAATCATTTGACCGTACCACAGATGTAATCAATCTGAGTATTCTCAAAATTTCAGCGTAAAGTAGCAGGGGTGTTTGTGTGCTTCATGTTGATCTGTGGATACCAGAAACTATTTTTGTAATAGCAATGAAAGTCATCACATTTTATTTTGTATTTGATAAATGAATATAAAACCTTAAAAAGCAAAAAGCCCTTATCCACGCCTTCATTCTTTTGCAAACTGAATGTTATTTTTATGGATCAGTATAGTGAGGTTTGCAGATAGTTTCAGGATAGCAGATGCTGATTCTCACCTATGCGTCGACAACATTTCTTTTTTGATCAAGACTGGAGAAGGTCTGTAGGTTATTGGCAATTCTTATTTATCTGTGAACTGGTATTAAACTGGCTTACAGAATTGCTTATTTCTGCTGTTTTATATCCCATTCAAATGTTTGTTGTTTTTTTTTGCATGCCCTACCTTAGCTTTGAAAGTGTGAAGATGGTGTCTATTTCTAAAAATAGATAACAGATGTATTTGCAAGCAGGTTTTCACACTACGTAAGAAATGGGAGTAAAAAAAAAGTATATTCTTATCATGTGGGTTTTTCTGACTGCATCTTTCTTCATCTGTTACCTGTTAAATTTTCATTTCAAAATTGTTAAAAATCTGACAAGCACCAACTTCAGAGAATTTATAAAGTATTTCAAATGAGATTTTAAAAATGTAATGCTACTACTGTAGAATAAACTCTTATATTTGAAATCTAAAATAGGCATATGTAATTTAACCTATCACTATTGAGAGCAGACAAATCTATTTTAAGATACTATGGTTTTACTGTGTTTCTCTCTGTATCACTGGAGACAAGGCTTTTTATTTAGCTTTTTAAAGACCGTTTCATTATTCCTTTTTATTTTGTTAGATAGCTTTGCGGAATAGTAACAGGATTTTACAAAACCGTCGGGTTTTGAAAAAAATCATGGGTTGTGTCTAGTGTCTGTGGCATGCATGCTGCTTATTTTTATGTGGAACACTGAAAGAATGCTGTATTAACAAAAAAAAAAAACACCATCCAGCTCTGGAGTTATTTATTTCAGCCTTCTGAAAGGTTTGTGAAAATTTGGTTCCCTAAATACACGTTGTGTATATTTGTGTATGAAACAAGTGTCTTTGATCTACAGTTTTCTGAGCAGCATAGCTGGTTAGCGGATTAGTCCTCTAGAAATGTGGCATTTGGTTGTTGTTTGGAGAAACCCATTTCCAAATGTTATGAAATTAATTTTGGCTGGAATTAAAATAGCTTTTTTTTTTTTTTTTTTTTTTTTAAAAATCAGTGATCACAAGAATAAATCTTGCCTGTTTTCTACTGTGATTTTACCATGGATCAATGACCCCATGTCAGATTTAGGACATTTGGCTCTCGCCCACCAAGCAGTAACGGACTTGGGACGAGGAGTCAGGGTGTGCCAGCTTTTTTGGGTGATGCTGCCTTGGACAGGACCTAGGCCTTGCGCAATGGGGAGATGAGTCCAGTGGCTTATTTGCATTTGAATGACTTCTTAAAGGGGGGGTGGGGGGGTGGTATCTGCTTTCTGATTGCCATCCAGCATTATTTCTACATCATTCTGCAAACAAAACCCTCTTGCATTTCACATGTGGGGCTCAGGACGCTACTATGAAAGCCCTTCACAGAGGTGACACTGTAGCTGGGCAGGCTTGTCGTGCTCGAGGTTTTGCAGGCTCCTGTCTGGGTGGGTGAGGAAGAGCAGGGAGTCTCCAGGGCAGAGGGGCAAGGCAAGCAGCCTTGCTTCCCAGGCCTTGTCCTGCTGCTGGCGTGGCTCCGCATGCGCTACGACCGTAGCGAGAGCCTGCGGAAGTCTGCAAAGGTTCAGCTTCCTGCCGTCACTCATCTCGTGTGACACAATGAAGGCATTGGAGCTGAGGAGGAGATTGGCATGGGAACTGTACAATGGTTGTTTTAAAATTATGTTTATTCTGGATCTTTGGACCTATCTCACAACTACAATATAAAGCTACAGCCAGGATGAACTCAGCAAAATACTGGTTTTGTTAATCTTGTCCATTTGTCGATGTTCAGGCCAGGCTTTAATACCACCTTCAAGCTGCCTTCTTCCTGCGTCTGCTGTGCTGTGCCAATAATGAGGACAGAAGGAGGACCTGTCACTCCTCCAGAAGTAGCCCAGACTCTGGTTCCTGTCCAACTACTTCTTGCCTGGACTGCTCTCCAATTCCATGTCCATTTATAGATCCCGGGACACCCCCTTGTCCCCATCTCACCATGTGACCAAGACCTGGTCCCACAGGTGGATCTGGTGGAGGAGCTGCTTCTGCAGCTATCCTATCCCACTTGCCCTGACCTAAAAATCATTAAAGCTAAAAAGCCTTGTTTGGAAGACTGTCATGCCAAGCTACAGGCTCCTTGCTCAGGCAGGTTCTCCTATTAAAGGCAGCTGGGTGGAGCATTTGCAGACTTGCAGGTTACCGTCATTTGTCTTATGAGGTGACCTAAATCAACTGAGCGATCTTGCTATCTGGGACAAACACCCACGCAGTTCCTTCCTCCTGCAGCATCTTTTGATGCCCTCATTCCAGCATAGATCACAAATACTTCTCCTAAGATTGCATTCATTGCTTTATTCATCCCACGCATTAACCAGGATCTTTATGTAGTCTTGTGGATCACCTGTTAAGTTGGTTGACTTGGAGCAGGGAGGGGGGTTGGAAATTAGACAGCATCCAGGTGTATTTAAAGCAGAAGTCTCCTGGGGATGTAAAATAGAATTGTGGGAATATATTGTAGGAGTTCCTAAATGTCAGCTCAGCTGTTTTCACTTCTGCCATGTCCTCACTGAAGTGATTAGCTCAGGACTTTTTTGACGTAACACCTAATATTCGACCTCTCCATCTAGCCGCAGAGGTGAGTATGGATTTAAAGGATCTGTCAGCATGAATATAGGGATGTGTCTGCCAACTGTCAGGTTATCTGGGCCCAAGTTAGAGGCCAGAAGCCAGGGCAGGACTGAAGCCAAGTCCTACTCAGTTGGTTCTTGGTCGTAAGTCAGTGATTTTTCAGCAAGAAGCAGATGTGGTTTCACATGTCTCTGAGTTGAAGAGGAAAAAGCTGTTTCATTTGTTGCCCTTTACTGTGGAAAAGTCTTCCCTGCTCATTCCAAGCCATCTCTTACTCTTTCCTCTTTTTAGCACATGTGACCCAAGAAACAACGAACCCTTTTTCTTCTCCCCCCAATAAGAATTGTATGTTACTTCCAGCAATGCCAAGAGACTCGTGACTCACCCTGCTAAGCAGGACATTCAAAACTGACCTCCGGGTTCGCAGGCAGTGTGATTTTATTGTCCTTCCTGTTCAATTGTTTCAACAGGTTCCCACAGCCAGCGTCACCATTGAAGGAGCTTCTGCCCTCAACCGTGTCCGTTGGGCCCAGGCTGGGAAGGAGGTAGCAGTTGGTGATTCAGAAGGTCGCATATGGATCTATGATGTTGGAGAGGTATTATTACTGGTTTTGGTTTTTTAAAATGCTTGGCTCCTGGACAATGCCACATCCAAGTTTGAGAAAAAAGCATGTGTCATGACACGTGAGTAGGACACCTCCAAAGAATAAGTCAAATTTCTCTCAGTGGAGTCCCCGTTGATTTTGGGTTGCCAACAGTGTGTTAGTCATGAAGCTACGTTGCAAAAGAGGTAACTCATTAAAGTCTCATGAGAAAAGGCTTTTTTGAAAGTTTTCAGTGTTTTAAAACTTTTTTTTAATGGTTCTATGAGGACAGGTGGAAAAAGTTACAAAGGAACATAAAGAGGAAAGTAGAGGTGCAAAAAGGAGCCGTGTTGTTCTGAAGTTGGTCTTGAAGTGTTCACCTTTTCTATTCTAGTATCTGTTATTTTGTGACTGGCTTAATGCTGTAGATTTTTCTCAGCGTGACATGTACAGAATACATCTGTTCTTTTAACACTGAATAATGCTGAATATGTCTGAATATGTGCAAAAGTACTAACAGGAGGAAACGACAGGTGTCATTGTGGAGGATGGTAGGTGCATGTGTGATAAAGAGTATGTAGGTGCTGAGAAATAGCAGGATGTGTATGCTGTGTCTGAGGCTGCTCTCAATTCACCCTGCTACATCTTATAAAAACCATCTAAACTGCGGTGTGTTTGGCACTGATGGAATCTACCTCTTTGTTGATGAATACAGTATAAAGTGTTCTGTCAGCATTACAATCCCTTGGAACAGTTAAGGGTGAATCTCTGAGCAATCAGCTTTTATGTAGAGAATTTGTTTTCCATCATTATCTGTGATAGGATACTGAGATATCCATCTCTACACAGTAGGGAAACATTATAGAATACATACAGAATTATCTGTAACTCTCATAAAGTGATTTTATGGCCCATAGCAAAATTGCTTGTGCATGACTCATATTTTTGGATTGCATTCGCTTGTGCAGGAGTTGCCTTTCCTCACAAATGTTTGCTGAAACTTCTTGCCATATTGTTAGCATGATTTCTAAATTGTCTGAGGTTACTGCGTTCTGATTTCCCTATGACACTGGCAGGTCAGGCTGTTTTTATTTATTTTTCATTTTTGCATGACTGTTCCAAAAAGGTGCTTTTTCTGTCTTCCAAGTGGTATGACAGGCTGTAGAAACATCTTTGATGACAGTGCAGTCTGATCTTGTCTGGGGGTCTAGACGAGCTGTCTCTTTTTGTGTATCATACACCAAATAGTTGATAGGATTATTTATCCCTGCAAGCTCACCCAGGAGAAAATAGATTTAGTGTCCTATGCGGAAGAAGCAATATTTAAGGTTTTGGCCTTTCCTCTGTATAATCAGACTTCAACTTGCAAAATGAGTCACAGTGATACACTCAGATCAAAAAGAAAGACAGGCTTTTATTAGTTGAAAAGGAAAAAGAAAAGAGAGTCATTCAACAGTATTTATTTGTGTGAGTCCAGATCAGTGTTATATGAAGTGTTCTGCTTCATGGATGTTGTGTGCCCTGCCCGTGCAGAGCCCCGGCGTCTCCAGCTCGGCTCCATACACACTTACGCACACAGATGGATGTCCATCCACATGGCTGCTGACAGATCATGGGCCATTGCCACCCCTCCTCCTCTGCCGTAATGGATGAAGGAGCTCATTAATTTGTTGCCTGGTTCGTTTTGGCAGTATCGGTCCCTGCAGTAAATCCTGTACCAATTTCAGGAGAGGTGGTCTGGGCTGCAACAGCTTCGGATTCTACCAGGGCTTTTTCTGGTTTAAGAAAGAAGGGTGCCCATGTATTCTCCAGTACAACTCTTCTCACTGTAAAGCCTTAAGTGAGATGCAGAAATACAAGCAGCTCAAGAGCCTGGAACCAAGGGCTTGTACAGTGTGTAGCAGCCGCCTCAGTCGTTACCCCTCTGTGCTGGTCCGTAAAGAGCTCTCCGATGAGTTACTCCATGCTTAGCTGTCCTCAGGCATGACACATGGGGGATTCACAGCATGCAAATGCACTTCTGGAAGTGTCTGGCAAAAATACGGTGGCCTGTAATGCTCTCTCTTTACTTCAGTGTGCAGACACCGGCCAGTTTCTTGGCTCAGCTGGGGTCCTCTTTTGACTGTCCTTTTTGTATGGGTTTGATTCTGGGGTATGACGGGGCTGGTCTGACAGTTTAAAAGGGGCAGTCCCTCTCCCCCGGCCAGCCAGCCATCCCTAACCATATCTCTCCCTGCCCAGTTTTTGTGCTGGTAGCAGTGCTTCTCACCACCCACATTGTGGGAAGGGAGATTGATCAGCAGAGAAGTATTGATTTATTTATTTTTTTGTTTTGTTTTCCTGGTGTATTTTTATCCATGAACTGACCCAGCGTGAGAGTTGGATGAGTGAGCACCGTACAGCACCTGCCAGCACCTCACTCGGATTTGACCCAGCAGCGTTGCAAAGCCTAAAACTAAGCTGTGACAGTTGACCTTTCAGCAATAGCACTCTACCTGTCTCCTACAGCATCAACTTCAGCAAAGACCTTGCCACTGAAAGAACTCATCCCTGCCTGACTGATAACTCAGTAGCATCCACTTACCTGAAGGTGCACCTCTCTGATTTGGGAAGATGGGTGTGATTACTCGCATTAGAAAGTCAGCAGGCCACTTTTACAAAGACCTTAAATACACTCACCAAAAACATGAATGCTCCACTGATACTGCACCCTTTTCAAAACCTTTCTTTCCTCATGACTTTTCTAAAGACCACATTAGATCAGCTGTAAATTCCTCAAACATTGGTTCCATCAGAAAAAATTGTGATTATATTTGTATTACAATAAAGCACACTGTCTTTGAATTGCACATTACTGTATAAGCAACTTTTCTTATCTGTTTGAACAGAGAGAGTTGAATTTTGGTCAGAGCAGAAAACATCAGGATATCAAATCATTAAAGAAAAAATTTAAGTGATAGGAATTTTTACTTTGGTAGATTCATCACAGTTTTGAGGAACTATTCTAAAGAACAGTAAAGTTCTCTGCTGCTATTAACCCATATGGTGCAAAGAGAAAACATTGTATGGCCTAAGTGAAAACATAAGACAAGAGGTCTAACCTTGCATCCTTTATCAAGGCAAGGAGTCATAGTCTTTATGACACAAGAAATGGCAGAAATACGAAGAACGTGGCAGAGTCCGTGACCAGGGAGTTAAAAATAATGGTGACATTTTCAGTTAGGCTATATGATGTTATCTCCTTAGAGTATGTACTTTTAGTTGTTTGATTTCGGCATCGTGTCTGAAAATAACTGAACACATTTATTTTCACAGTGAGGGGTCTATTTTCTCCTCAATGCGTGTGCTTTATGCCCATTAGCATTAATGGGAGTTATACACACACTTCCAGGGGAGAGGAGACTTAAATAGTCCATACAGATGTGCTCTTGTGGATCAGTAACCACTGATTTAAAGAATGTGAGTTATAAAATGAAATAAAAACCCAAACACACAAAAATCTAATTGTTTCAGTGTGATGGGGTCTTAAACGTATATAACTTAACCAGAGAATATAACCGGTCATTGTAAATACACTTTACTCTCCGTAAGATCTAAATATCCAAAACTTTGCTGGTCTAGTAGTTGAGATATTATTATTGTGATAGTATGTATAATGTATTTTAGCTTCTGTGGTCTTATTGCTTATTTACTGGGCAGCAAGTTTTCTGTATGGTAGAAGTTGATTTTAACAGAACATGGATCACTGACTATAGATTTATTCACATGTCCAGATGATTGATAGTTAGACCTAACTGCATGTCTCTTTGTAGATATATTTTCTAGAAAGCCTGCTCCCATTGTGCATGCTTCAGTGATGTTACACAGTTGCCGCTGTCATAAATATTCTCTAACAACCACATTTGTTGCTTACCTGGCTTATTGAGAATGCTCTTTGCACCTTTGGTTGTGAAAGAAGCAGCTTCTCATCCGCCTTGTATTATTTCTTTCTTTTTTTCCCCCCATTAATCTCTTCCAGGTCATATTCTGCTTGCACTGTGAATAAATAGATAGAAAATGTAAATCAGTGATTTATTATTTGATTGTAACAGAGTATAAAGTAAGTTTGCAGCACCGTGTTGGAGAGTTTGAAACTGTAATCACAAGGAGCTTATTACTGTACATTATTGTGTTAAACTAGTTACAGGACAAACTGTTGCCTCTGTTTGGCGGTCATTCAGACACTTGATTCTAGTCATGCTTTTAAAGGACGACTAGTGTGACAGGTGGAACTGGAGGAAAGTACGAATCGAAAAGGTCTTTCCCGAGACCATCCAGGAAAGCTGGCTCTGCCAAGAAAGCAGCTACCTGGGATTCTTTACGCAGTTACTACCTCTGTCCTTGTTTCCTTGCAGAGAAATCAGAATCATTTTGATATTTATGTGACTTTTTTAGGTTTCAGAGTTAATATCTCCTTAATGCCTGTTAGGGCTGCTGGGTTGCGTTGTTTGTATACTTCCCCATTTTCTCCATGATGGGTGTTAATCCTGTATCGCATTTTAAGTACATGACCAGTGAGGGAGGAGCCGGCAACTTCCTGAAATACGAGGATGAAGTGGTACAGTAAGGAATGTCCTACTGGTGCCTATAAAATAATTTCCTTAGATTTCAGATGCATTTAACATCTGGTCTTCAATTCTTAGGGTTCTAGACGGAGAGAAATGTGTATTTGTGACCAACTCTCACATTTCAGCATGGCTACCGAGTCACTTGTTTTTCTGGGAAGAGTGGGGAAGGGTTGGTACTTTGTACTCCTGTCTTGAGATCCTTGTGTTTCACTATAGATTTCATACGGAAAACATATCCAGCATCTCTTTCATGCAGTTAAAAAATACTGTAGCCCAGAAAGAGAAATACAAAACTAGGTTTTGTGTCATGTTGTTATCCAGGTAGATTTTCCAGTAGGTTTACTTTTGCCATCATAAAGCTCCTGTAGAGCAGATATTGAGTTAGGGAATGTTTTTGACACAAA